AGGCACCGCAGATGATTTTGGTACAGATCAACAACAGGGTGAACTACATGCACCTCATATAATTATAGTACAGATCAATAGCAGGGTGACTCACAGGCACCGCAGATGATTATAGTTCATATCAATAACAGGGAAACCTACAGGTACTGCAGATAATTATGGTACAGATCAATAGCAGGGTGTCCTACAGGCACCTCAGATAACTATGGTACAGATCAATAGCTGTAAGCAGCGTGCCCTAAACGCACCTCGAATAATTATGGTACATATCAATTACAGGGTGACCTACATGCACTTCAGAAAATTATGGTACTCAGATCAATATCAAGGTGACCTACAGGCCCTTCAGAAAATTATGGTACATAACGATAATCAGTAAACTGTCATTTGACGAGCTGAAAGACATCTGCATTTTAATGTATTTTATGCAATGAACAAATGAAGCTATTAAAGGAAGCTATTAAACCAAGAGTTCCAAATGGTGAAGTTGAAGTCATCCCTTCGTAAATTTTACGGACGCCATTACGAGTTGGTTGACATTTATGGAATATCCGTTTCACAGATGATATCGGATATGTTCCTTATGTCGTAACTACAATCCCGTTCCCTTATCACGATTGTGACCTACCGAATAAGACTATAAACCGAGTTTGTAATAAAATGAGCAACACGAGGGATGCCACATGTGGAGCAGGATCTGCTTACCCTTCCGAAGCACATGAGATCATCCCCAGTTTTTGGTTGGGTTCGTGTTGCTTAGTCTTTAGTTTTCCATGTTGTGTTTTCTGTACTATTATTTGTCTGTTTGTCTTTTTATTTTTTGGCCATGGCGTTGTCAATTTATTTTCGATTTATGAGTTTGACTGTCCCTCTGGTATCTTTCGCTCCTCTTTTATATAGTATTTAGTGCCAACTGCATTATACCTAGACCGATGTTACAAAAGACAACACTTTAGATAGGAAATGGTATCGATCAAAAATAAGGAAACCTATATGCACTTTTGAAAGGATATGATACAGATCAATATCAATGTGACCTCTTGCACTTTTCATATAATATAGTACAGATCAATACAAGGGCCACCTATGGGCACATTTGAAATGATATGGTACAGATCAATATTAGGATGGCCTACAGGCACCGCAGATGATTATGGTACAGATCAACAACAGGGTGAACTACATGCACCTCATATAATTATAGTACAAATCAATAGCAGGGTGACCTACAGGCACCGCAGATGATTATGGGACAGATCAATAGCAGGGTGACCTACAGGCACCGCAGATTATAATGGTACATATAAATAGCAGGGTGACCTACAGGCACCGCAGATTATCATGGTACAGATCAATAGCAGGGTGACCTACAGGCACCGCAGATTATAATGGTACAGATCAATAGCAGGGTGACCTACAGGCATTGCAGATTATAATGGTACAGATCAATAGCAGGGTGACCTACAGTCACCGCAGATAATTATGTTACAGATCAATAACAGGGTGACCTACAGGCACCGCAGATAATCATGGTACAGATCTATAACAGGGATACCTACATGCACCTCAGAATTATGGTACATATCAATAGCAAGGTGACCTACAGGCCCTTCAGAAATGGTACAGAACGATAATCAGTAAACTGTCATTTGACGAGCAGAAAAACATCTGCATTTTATGCAATGAAGAAAGTTTTATAGTATTTAGTGTCAACTGCATTATACCTGGACCGATGTTACAAAAGTAAACATGTTCCACATTTATGAAGATGTTGGTACTGTGATGCTGTTATCTGGTTGCTTCGTCAATGTGCCTGGAAGTAACTCCGGTAGTACATGTTAACCCGACATGTTTACCATTATACAGCTCAGAACAGAACAGTTGTTTGAATCGGGCTATACAAGAGCCTTGATATAATGTAATTATACAAATGCAAATGTAGTTAAAAACATATTGATGTAAAATTATAGAAAATTAGATTGGCAGAAAAACAAAACCTGATTATAATTATTAATTAAAAGTATAAAATATCTGACACCTAACCATACTAGTCATGACACGAACAGTTCAATCTTCCGACCGTGGGAGAGCTGTATAGCCAGTCAAGGTCGTTTAAAACTTCCATCATCATCATCATCATCATCATCAGTTCAATCAAAACCTTCGTGGAACTTTGACACCCATTAGTAGTTAGATATTCAACAAATTAATGTATGACTTGCATGTGCGTGTCGCTAAGACCCCTGCCATGTACGAAAAAGTAAAATAGCAAAAGTCCGGGGAAAATTCTAAACGGAAGGCCCTAAGCAGATGTCAAAATCAAAAGTTCGAACACATCAAACGAACAAAAAACAACTATCATATTCCTGTCAGACTTGATACAGGCATTTCTTATATAGAAAACGGTGGATTAAACCTGGTTCTATAGCTAGCTAAACCTCTCACGTGTATGAAAGTCGCATAAAATTGTATTATATTGAAAACGATGTATGAACAAAACAAACAGACAAAATAGTTACAAATGTCACAAATAGGAGTACAGCAGTCAACATTGTGTTATAACCTTAATCAAATTTCAAACATAATTTATATGTCAACAAAGAAAAACAAAAAGGCATATTGACAAAGCACATAAGCAAAAACGGAAGACAAGAATACAAAAAGTTATCATAGCACAATAACACAATGACGGGATGTATAAGTACCGAGTCACGTCAAATGGATATTACCAAAAATAGATTAAAATGTAAAAGTACTAATTTACAAAGACAAATAAAAGAATACTATTACACGTTATTATTAATAAGATGATAAACAACGCCAGTACCTAAAATCTATATTTCAAAACCATCGTGTATTATTTGTGAAGTTGATACGGAATATTTATTAACAATGTCTTGGTATCTTCCGATGAACATTTTTAGAAAAAGGACGAGACGTTCTTTGACATACCCCCAGTGCGTTCATCAACTTTCTGCTCACACACTGGTGACTTTTAACAAAGTCTGAGTAGCATCTGTGTAATTTGCTCCATGGGATGTTTTCAAAATTGCAACGAAAGAAACTTCTTGTCATGAATAATTATCTACCTGAAACATGTGAAAGAATAATGACGCCATCAATGACTTTCACACCTGAAAACATACGTGTCCCCCCCTCTTCAATGAAACTACTACGGGTTAGAAAAAGATCTGTAATGTGGAGTAAAACGGTCAGAAGTTACATCGAATTCAATTTAAAAGTCCTTTTACACGACGCCACTCTTTGACATCATGGATTACCCTAAAAAAAGGGGGAAAACACTGCAACTTTCAAGGAAGGAACAGGAAACTAAAAAAAACCTTTGAACTCAGTTCACCTGTTAATTTAGTTAACTTAAAAATATGCCCCTGTAGATTTTTTCTGGATTCCAAATTCGGTTGCTGTACAGTAAACAAATACCTATTTTCCCGAAATAAATAAGTACACACATTTGATTTTGTTGATTTTTTTTAACAGTCCACGAGCTTGATTTCGATTTGTCTTGAGGTAAATTTTATGACCATCTTATGGCTATCATATGATATGTCATAGAATGTAAATCATCGCTGTCAAAAGATAGTCATACCTATGATGCTTTAATGATAGTCAAAAGTGAAAATATGTTACTATGAAAATTATAACTAATACTATTCTTATCTTATACGAATATTTCATATTTTTTCCAGTATAATGAACGCGATGAACATAAAAATTATATATGAATAGGAGTTAAAATCTGAGTTGATAATTTGTTTAAATTTAATGGTTAGAACTTCGTGTTCATGTATTATTATAATGAAGTGTTATCTAATTAGGAATGCTTTTAATATTTGGTATGCATAGAATGCCTGTGCAAATACGTCAATGAACTACTATACAAAGAAAAAATATCATAAATATTTATTAAAAATAATCATTACAAAGAAAAGGATTCCAAATTGTACGTCGCAGGACATTCAAATTTTAAATGACGAAGTGAAGAAGAAATAAATTTTTACTATTTAGTAGATTAAGCGACAGAATAAACAGTGCCAAAAAGAGAGCAAGAGAGGCTGCATGCAGAAACGGATGTTAAAAGAGAGGTCAGGGCCTCGCCCCCTATGAAGCTACACATATAGTTTATGTATAGACTTTTAGCATATATCACTCCAAACGATGCCTAGTTTGGGCCCCCTTTTTTCACAATCCTAGATCTCATTCTGCATGTTGCATGAGCAAATAAGAAAATGTGTGATGTAACATTTATGACAATCATAAGACCATCATAAGTAATGTCCCGAGGTGTCTTAAATGTACGATCAAAGTTATGAATATCATGACTTGAGACGCCTTCAAATACATATCTTATGACATGTCCTTAAACCATTGTAAGACATGTCTTAATCATAAGATACTTTTGAAAACCATGCTTCATGGCTTGTTTTTCAATTTCCTCCGTGTCCCTCATATAAATAATTGCAAATTCATGATACCCTACGTGAACAGATCTACAACAGTCCAACGATTTACAGAAAAGAGCGACGATTTACAGAAAAGAACAGAAAAGGACCGAAAAGGACCAAAAAGAACAGAAAAGAACAGAAAAGGAACCAAAAAGAGCATACATATATTTATTTCATATTTATAAACACACGAAATTTTGATATTGTTAATACATTGTAATTCCTCGTAATAAATGAACGCATAACTATAACTTAGATTGTACATTTTATAGGGATATGTGGACACAAAAAAAAAAAAAAAAGACAGTATTATAACTTGGTTTTCAGTAAAAAAAAATTTTATATATGTACAAGTAATCATTTGCACACTGTACAATATAAATCACTCCTGTTATACACCATAAAACAAAATGTACCTTTTGATGAACACATCAAAGACTTTTATTCGCATAGTATCGAAATACAATAAGCATTTTAATAAAATAATGTTGTTGTTTTTAAATAAAACTAGCAATTAGTCTTTGAATTTAAAAAAAAATGAAGGAATTAACAACCTGTGACCAAGAGACTGTATTATTCATGTAAGTCCCAGATGCGACTAATTGTCATTAAATAAATAAACTGTAAACTTGATTTTTGACTATTAAATAAACTGTAAACTTGATTTTTGACTATTGAAAAGTATTATAGATTTGAAGAAAATGTTTGCGGAAATAGATCAGCCATATACGACCAACAAATATGTTAAGATAACTTAATTGGAAATCAACTCCTTAATATTAATTGTCCTTAAATATTGATTTTTCTCCCTTTCTGCGTTTTTCGTTTTATTTTAAAACTATAAAAGTGTGGACACAGATCAGTGTGGATAGTATATTTGGATGTTTGACAGTGTTTTCTGACAAAAATAGTTCTCTGTTTTTCCCATAGGGTTCTATGTTAAACCATGGAAGTATAATATTGACATATAATACTTCCATGGTTAAACTGTGTTGTACAGTGATAGCCAACCTGTACCAAACATTAAAAATTAGCAGTGTCGTTTATTTAATATTTAGTTTTAATGTTCAAGACTCTCATGGAGGAGACACTAATTGCATGGATTACCAACGATTCTAATAAAATATGTTCCACAACTTTGATTTTGGATATTGCAGCAAAACTCATAATTAGGAGAGGAACACATTAGGTCATTTCTGCATGATGTGATTTTAATATACGAGATGGTATCTGACAACCTACATGCATGTACTATGTGTATGGTTCTATTTATGTTCCTTTGTGGTGGTCATTTCTTACTTGGGTTTGACCACAAAAACTGTAAATTAGTTATGGATCTTCCCAGTATCATTAGTAAAAGATTTTGTTTAAATGTCGAAATTATTTCTTAGAAGAAATCTAATGGTTTTTTGATATCCAATGGTTTTAAGTAATGACAATAGTTGGCATGACACTTAAAGCTAGATGAGCTAGAAAGTACACTTCTGTGTTATTTTAGTTCTTTCTTCGAAAATGTCTTCTCCAAGGCCTGGTCGAAGTTAAAAAATTAAAATTGGACCAGTATGATAAATTATCATTCATATTTTTTAAATAGCAATAACTTGTGCATGGGGATTATTAACAAATAAAAAATCCTGTGCGCAATTTAATGTAATTATATGTATATATATGTAAATAGTTCGTCTATATATTTATAAGTTAAATGAGAAAGGGTGCCAGAGAGATAGTAAGACGCATGAAGTAGAAAGAGAAATTAAACAAGAGATCTAAGGAGAATGAAAAAAGTGAGGAAATGCACATGGAGATAGAAAATTGATTAAGTCTATACAGATTGGAGAGGCAAAAAATCTACCAGATTGGGAAAGGGAAGAGAAAGCGGATGAAAGATGCAGTCGATATTGTTAAATACTGAAATAGATATAACATATAAATTAATGTATGAGCTTTTTCAAAACTAATTTGAATAGCCCCTATTTGTAATTTGTAGTATATAAGATAGGCATCCGACCCTACCTTTAATAATAAGAGGGTAATTTTTCAATTGTAAGTTAGTCCTGTCGCAATATAAGGTTTCAAAACCTAATAAGAAAGTTTTTTTGGAAACTATCTTTTCATTTATAGACTTTAATGATTTTGCAATTTGCTAGTCTCCTTCGATTGCAAAAAAAATAGATTTCCTTTTCGGTTCTTTTCTATTCTTTTTGGTCCTTTTCGGTCCTTTTCTGTTCTTTTCTTTAAATCGTCGCTCTTTTCTGTAAGTCGTCGGACCCGATCTACAACATTTTAAAAGTTGCAATTGGTGCTATGTAAATGTGACCTACAGTCACCTATCATTTTGTCTGCTACGACTGTAAATGGTTTTTAAATATTTCCAATAAACAGTAATTTTCAACGTATTACAAAGAGGATAATAAAAAAAAAACATAGCACTTTTTTATTTTACCGCACATATATGCTCAAATAGTTTTCCTTTTAGATATTTAGATCTATCATTTTTGTTGGGACTACATTAACTTGCGTATACACTTTTCGTAGTGCAACGGTTTTGACGTTGGGTCACTGGCAGTTACCCTTCACATAAGCTTTTATCCTCGTGCTAGACAAGGTAAACAAAGAAAATGGCAGACGACTGCGACCGCCTTCGTGTTCGCGGTCGGTTTATTAAGAACGACAGATTCAAAAAATCTAAAAGGATGAACACTTTGAACGAGAGAGATAAATTTACTCAATAGGGAGACCATGATTACGGTACGAGGGGAGAATTGCCATTAGAACCGACAATGATTCAAGAGACACCGGTATCAGTTGAGAACATAGCCTCCAATGTTACTGTTTCAACTGATACCGGACACAGTAAAAACATCTTATGGAATGAAGGCAGGAGGGTTGTTGAGTTGGAAGTGCTAGCGGAACAACTCTTCTGCAACAGATGCAACACCCCACTCCATCTGAAGGATATAGTAGGAAATGAAGTAAACAATAATTTTTAGCACCCCTTCATTTTTTACAAACTATCAAAACCATGTGAAGTTTGTAGCTATAGGAATATGATTGCAATTCACTTTCAAATATGTCCTGCTGGCAGAAATCTTTACAATTTTTCTCTCAATCCAAACCCTTGTAGGAAATCAATACTAACAGGACAGCGATTGTTTCTTTGCCTATTATACATTTTAGCTCACTATGCGATATGGGTTTTACTCATTTTTGTAGGCCCTGACTGACCGATAGTTGTTAAATTCTGTGTCATTTGGTCTCTTGTTGAGATTTGTTTAGAGAGTTGTCTCATTGGAAATCATACCACATCTTATATAAATAGAATTTTGTTTCTTTTCCCTTCCCCTTATATAATACAACCTACACAAGAAAAATGTCCTTACTCAAAATGTTTTGTTTTGACATTCTAAATAGAAATACAAAATGTAGTTGTTTTCTTTCAAGTCTCTTGATAAATAATAAAAAATGTAAATTTCATGACATTTTTGTAAATTTCCTTTCACAAATATTAAATAAGATATTTTTCCTACATGCACCTTCAGGTACATTTTTGTACATGTACCTACCCAGTACTTACCCACTATATAAAATTTGGGTCTAAAAAGGGGAAACAACATATATTTTAAGTTTGGCCTCACGATAAAACAAAATAATATCAGCTATAGCTATCTTTCAGTATATTCAATTTTTATCTTACAGGTACAGCTTAGGTAGTCTTTTGGAGGTGGTATGTCAGATATGCTCTGGTATGAAACTGGTATCTACAGGCAAGCGGAATGAAAAAGGAGCATTTGATATCAACTCAAAAGTTGCTCTTGGTATGTGCAAAAAGCTTTATTGTAAGAAAAAAAATAGGAAAGTTAGATTATTAATTCTATTTTATTTATCATTCTGACACGTTTAATGTTTTTTAAAGTAGTTTCTTTCAAACTCATGACATGGGTATGGGGTGTTCAAATTTGTGTACTATGTAGTGTAATTTATTATTTACAGTGTTGCTTACACCAAGGATTGCTAATATGTCTATGGCTTACAGCGTAGCTATTACAAATCACTGCAGGGGCTGTATATATTGTTCTTTCTAACTAAAAACTTGCCTAAGTAAACTAAGAAAAAGATTTTCTCATTTCCGGGATGAAAATTTTTATTCTATTTTTATAACACTATTTTGAATTAAGAGGGTTTTAAGCATCATTCAGAAAAGATCTTATCTTTATACCCACACTAGTTGGTAAACAGCAAACCAATAATTTATTAAAGATGGCCTTAAATTGATTTAAGTAAGGAAGTTATATTTTCTATGTATTTCTGCTTGAATATTAAAAAAGTCATAATGAATTTTGACATTGAATTTTGTGTGCTCACTAGGTTGTAGCGCTATCAATTGTCACCTGAGCTCTATTATTGAATTGTAATTAATTTAATTGATAAAGATATATATATGCAGTATGTAGGTGGTAAAAATTGATAATCATAGTAAATCATAATGATTTCAGCAATGATGCACTCTGGAATGGGTCCTGATGATGTTGTGAATTTTCTCAGCACATGTAACATACCCCCACCTGATCCCAAGACACTGAAAAAGAAGGAGAAATGTATAGCATTGTCACTTATGGATGAGGCATCTGATTCATGTAAAACTGCTAGTGCAGAAGAAAAAGCTATTTCCCCAAGTGATGAATTGGAATGCAGTTTTGATGCTGGTTGGCAAACAAGAGGCTCTGGTTGGCAATATAACAGTAACACAGGTATCATGTCAACATCAGTAATATTATAGAAATAAAAGTGGAGAAGTTTATTGATGTGTGCTCACTAGGTTACGGAATTGCTTATAAACTGAATCAAGTCAGAAGGACTTTATGTAAAAATTATAAATGCATGTTAGTCTTTAAATCTGTCAAGTTTACACATCAATAAACTCGTCCAAAATAACTATTTAGGTTCCAACTATGAAAATCATAGGTACATTTAGGTTTACCCTTGTCCCTCTGTATATCTGTCCTTTCCTCCCAATTTAAGTTAAGTTTTTATGTTTTAGTCCATATCTCACCTACTGTACATGGTAGACCAATGATATTTGATCAATAGATATACCATATGAATAACTAGTAGTACTGCACATTGGGATTCACTAAAAAGTAGGCCATTCTAACCTACAGTAATGTGTTGAGAAAAAAAGAAGATGTTGTATGATTCATAATGATTGCCAATGAGACAACTCTCCACAAGAGACCAAATGACACAGAAATTAACAACTATATGTCACTGTACAGCCTTCAACAATGAGTAAAGTCCATACCGCATTGTCAGCTATTTAGGGCCCAGAAATAACAATGTAAAACAATTCAAACAAGAAAACTAATGGCCTAATTAAAGGTCCATTTCTCAGCTACTATTTTATTTCAATGAAATTTGGTAATAAGGTAGATTGTGATATTGGAACAGATACCTGACATTGGAATTTTTAGGTTTATTTGTAACTTGTGGCTAAACAGCAAGAAAAGCTAAGCAAAACTCACATTTACATCTGTGTCATATAGATAAACCTTATAAGTTATATTTGCAAACATTATCCTTTTTTTAGCTCACCTGGCCCAAAGGGCCACGTGAGCTTTTCTCATCACTTGGCGTCCGTCGTCCGTCGTCCGTAAACTTTTACAAAAATCTTCTCCTCTGAAACTACTGGGCCAAATTTTTTTTTTTTTTAATTAATCAATTTTATTGCACCTTTGCTGTTAGCAATTTACTCAATCTACAGCTTCAATTAAGTATCCCTTTAAATTAGTTATTGAATATCTAGGGAAAGATATTCGATAAAGTATATCTATAAAGTAAGTTATATTAATACAGATCAATACATTAGAACAATTCTACATAATTTTTGTTTTTTTACCGGAATACGGTACGTTTCTTAACCTATACTGTATATGATTTTTTTTATCAAAGCTTCACTGAACCGCAAAATTGATGATGTATTGATCTTTGATACTGATAGCATGACTCTTCAGTCGACAATAGAATTTTGAACTTAAAACTTTTTGTTTTGTTTACAACACTGAATTATATAAGAAGTCTTGGATGATGAGGTAAAAATGTTTTTTTTTTTTTCACTCATTATTTTTTAACAGTAAATGTTGATTTCTATGATAAAGCCGAAGATCGAAAGTTGATCGAAAGTACACGTGGTCTTAAAATTATACATGTATGCAGTAACGTTGCATTGTGTTGTGTATTCTGCTCGCTCTCCTGCTCATTATAATTTTGCATTGTGAACAGGAATAAACATATTTAATAACAATTCTAATTCAGTGTAGCTGTAATAAATTATAAAAGAGTAAAATTGCGAATTTCAGTTAATGCACACCAATTGACTGGACACATGTGCAGTCATGTATTATGAGGTCACAGCTAAGACTTGTATCTAATAATTATCATTTCATTTAAAGGAATTCGAAATATTCCCTTGTTTTAAGTATTATTTTCTTGTTTTTTTTGCTTCTGATTTTATTTATGTTAATAATGTCCCAGATTTCATTTTTGAAGATTTTGAAGATATCAATGACCTTATCTTTCTTGTCATACATATAATATGCTTTATAGATGGAAAAGAAAATTATAGTTAATAGATAGTTCATATCAAAATAAGCTTCATCATCAATTTTATAGCCAGTTACTAAACTTTCAAGACTAAGTATATGCTTATCAATTTTTAAAAATGCTAATAGCTGGTCAACTTTATGCCAATAATGAACATTATATGAACAGGAAAAAAAGAAGTGTTTATAATCATCATGTTGCTTACAATAGAAGCACAAACCACTTGGTACTATTTTCCATTTATAAAGTAATTCATTACAGGCTAATATATAATGTATTATTTTCCATTTAAACATTTTAAATTTGTTGTTTTCAAGGTAGTTAAAAATAAAGTTAAATGTGGACTTCAATTTTGTAGTCATTTTTTTATGAAGAATTCTTTCCCACATTAAAACTCCTGTCGGTTTATCATGTGTAAATTGACTTTGCAAGAAAGTATATACTTCTTTGTTACTCATATCTGGTGAAATTTCATGTTTTAGTAGTATATTTAACTTCACTGATGTTTTTATATTGACAACAGTTTTGTAAGAGCTTTCTTGTTTTAAAATATTTTGCCAGTGCTTTGGTATAGCTTTTTTAACTAATGAAAATTCTCTAATCCAATCTTGTTTATTCTTTAAATTTTTTAGTACAGTTTCTGATGAGATGTATCCGTTTTCATCTAATATATTATTGATGTACAAAATATTACTATTAATCCAGTTTTGAAAGAACAAACATTTCCCATTTTCTTTGATAAGATGATTTCCCCATATAAGTTGTTTTCTAACCTGAAGAAAGTTTCTTGGTATGATTGTTTGACCTCCTTTTATTTCTACCCATGTTTTAATTAATTGTTTATTGAATTCAGGTAAAGATTTATAATCTATTTTATTAAGCAAATTAACATTTGTTAAATTCATTCTGAATAAAAGAAAATCTTTCCCAAATTTATCAAGGTAAAATCTTGGAATAATTTTCCAGTTATCATTTTCCTTTTTGATTAGTTTTAAAACCCATCTGATTTGTAATGATTTAAGATAGCAGTCTAAATCAATCATTTGTAATCCTCCCTCAAGATATGGTTTACATAATATAGTACGTTTAACTTTATCTTTTTTTCCACTCCATATAAAATTATATATTAAATTCTTGAACTTTTGCTTTATTTCCTGTGTTATTATCATACTTGATGCAATGTATGTTAGGTTTGGTAAAATTAAAGACTTAACTACAGTTATCTTTCCTATTAATGTTAAGTTTCGTTTGTTCCATCCTTGAATTAATTTTTCACATTTGTCTATTTGCTTTTCTGTATTTAATTTTTGACATTCTTGATAATTGTATCCAAAATATATTCCTAGACTTTTAATGTGGTCTTGTTTCCAGTTTATATTTTCAAATTTATCTTTTGAATGTTTAAGTTTCCCAAGCCATAACCTTCTGTTTTATTTCTATTCAATTTAAGTCCAGAAAGGCTTCCAAAAGTTTCAATAATGTTAAGGGCTATACTTATTTCTTTGCGTGTTTTTAAAAACAATTGAGTATCGTCTGCCAACTGACATATTTTTAGCGAGCAAGATTTTCTATCTAATTTGATTTCAAATCCTTTTAGTTTGTTATTTTCCCTTAATTTAATTGCCATTATTTCAACAGATAAAACGAAAATTAACGAGGATAACGGACACCCTTGTTTAATCCCACGGAATGTATTAAAGGGGGCAGACACCCATCCATTATTTAAAATACACCCTTTTATATCTGTATACATAGTTTCAACCCATTTAATGAATTCCTTTTTAAAACCAATTTTTTTTAAAGATTCAAACATAAAACACCACTCCAGTGAGTCGAAAGCTTTAGTAAAGTCTAAAAATAAAATCGCACCATCTACTTTAAATTTTTCAGAATAATCAATGATGTCTTTGATTTGTCTAATATTAAATCCTATGTATCTGTTTTTTATGTAACCTTTTTGATCAGAGTGAATTATTTTTGGAAGTACTGATTTTAATCTTTGCGCTAAGGCATAGGCTAATAATTTAACATCATAATTTAATAATGTGATAGGTCTATAGTTATCAAGGAAGAGTGGATCATTTTTTTATACAAAAGAGATATAGCTCCAATTTTTTGGGAGTTGGTTAATTCACCTTTTTTAAAGCAATAATTGAAAACGGGTACTATCAAATCTTTAATTTGTTCCCAGAATTTTCTATAAAACTCAACATTTAGTCCGTCCAAACCTGGGGCTTTGTTCAGTTTCATTTTAAATATAGCCTCTGTGCATTCACTTATAGTAATTTTTCCTTCACATATATTGCTTTCATTTTCATTAATTTTTTTACATTCTTTAATAGTTTCAAAGTACTTTCTTACCTCTTCTGTGTCAGGTTTTGTTGAAGTATATAATTTAGTATAATAATTAACTTCTAGATTTATTATTTTGTTTTGGTCATATGTTACCTGTTTATTTTCATCATACAGTTGAGTTATAGTTTTTTTACTTTGCCTTGTTTTTTCTAGGCCAAGAAAAAAGGATGTGTTTTTCTCCCCTTCTTCTAGCCATTTCACACGTGATCTTATTTGATTTCCTTTAATTTTTTCATTATATAAGCTTGCTAATTGTTTTTCTATATTTTCTTTTAGGTTAATTTTCCTCTCATGTGTATTGCTGTCACAATCTATTTCAGCAGATAATGTTTTTAATGTGTTTTCTAAAATTTCAATATTATCTTTTTTAATATTTGCTTTTAATTTACAGTATTGAATGGTATAATCCCTTACCTCAACTTTAAAATTATCCCATAAAATATCTAGGTTTAGAGATGTTTCTGCTTTTGTTTTATATGTATTAATCAACTTTGAAATAATTTTTTGATACTGTTTATCATCTAGGATGCTACTGTTTAATTTCCAGTAACCTCGCCCTTTTGAGTTTCTATTTATGTTGATTTTTAATGAAACGGCGTAATGATCAGTGTGTTGAAGTACTATTGGTCTTATGTCGCATGAAATGCAATTTTTATTAACTTCATCACTTACTAAAAAATAATCAATTCTTGTAGATTCTGAAAGGTTTTTTCTTCTCCAGGTAAATTGGGTTTTATTTATGTTTTTGCCTCTCCAGACATCGGTTAGTTTTAGATTCTTAATCAATGTCTTGAGG